ATCAAAAAAGTGTGAACTTCTTGCATTTTTATTCTATAAAAGAATCTAAAAACTTAATTTAAAATCATTTTTTGATAACTTAAAATAGAATTTGAGTTGGACCAGATTTTTTAAAGAATAAAGAAAAAAGAAATTCCATTCTATTTCATATCATTTTTATATTACATGCTCAAAATATATTTAATACATTCAATTATTTGCTTATATTTTTATTTATAGAATACATAACTTATTATCTTAAAAAAAAAGCATCCAATCATTCAAAAAAATTGAATTAAGATTTTTTTAACTATTAAATTCTCCTATTAAATGCAAACTGTTAAAAAATTATGTAATTTTAAACTAAATTTTTTTTCTCAAATATTTCGAAAAAATATTTATAAAAAATCACGGATTAAGTTGTAAGAATAGATAGACGTTTTTGACATGTATGTTAAGATTAAGATCAAATTATTGGTGAAGTATCTCTTAAAGTATTATAAATAATTATCAATAATTTCATATAATATTTTTCTTTGCAAAAACTTTCGTTTCGATTTTGTTAATTATTAAGCAAAAACTAAGCAATCACATCAATTTATTAAATCATGACAGAATATGTAAGACTTCAAACAAACAAATCCAAATGTTGTGTGTCGAAGCAAATATATTAAATATTTATTGGGCAAAAGTATATTGAATTATATTTTATTCTTGAAAAGTTTTTTATTTTGTGTATGTTGTATTGCTTTATGTTATGATACTTATGATCAACAGAAATATTGGATAATGATTTATGAGGTCTATAAAGTCTATAATTTATTTATAAAATCTCTGGAATATTAATTTGTAAAATATATTTAAAAATAGAATTTAAAATGAGAACTTCTCAAACTTAGTTTATAATAAATGATATATGATATATGATATATGATATATGATAATTTTTTTTTGGAGCAATTCTAGATTAATAACTCAGAGATCGATACTCGGATCTCTAAAAACATAGTCATGGAAATTAAACTGTCTAATTTTTATGAAAAAGAAGTTTAGAAAAATATGGATGGCTATATTGAAAAACAAGAATATTTTGGTTTATTATTGGAACAAGGATTCAAGAAAAGAAATGAAAATAATACGAGTGATAAAGAAATTGAAAATTTCCAAAAAGATAAACGAACATTATTACGTTGTTTACATCTAATCTTTTAAACTTTGATAAGTCTATAAGTATAGATATAAGTCTATATAAAATATATTTTGTTTTTTCAAATCTTTAATTTTCAATTTCGCTGTAATTATAGATTAAAAGAAGATATTTTAAAGCTTAAAACGGAGAGAGATGTAATGTCGAAGCGAATTCAAAAATATGAAATCGATAAATCTACTTTAGAAGAAGAAGTGAAACAATTATCATCAAAATCAAAGAATTTGGCGCATCAAAGGATATTATTACAAAAACAAATCGCTGCTAAGCAACAAGAGATGGAGATTCTTCTACGAGAAAGGAATATTCTAGCGCGAACCAAAGAGAACTTAGGTGATCAGATTAAAAGGCTTAATCATGAGATGCTAGTATGCGAGTACAGTAGAAGAAAAATCGAACATGAACTCGATACTTCAATGAGGGATATTCAGGAAGTTCAGTTACATTTGGCTATAGTGGAGAAGGAGAGGGATAAACATAATCAGATTGCTCAAGGTTTGGCACGAGAGGTGAGTTGATACTATATATATTATCTTCTTTTTAATAATTCTTTTTTTAATAAAAAATATTATTTCTATGAAAAAAGATATTCAATATAAATCAAATATTGGAATATTTTGCTGTATTATATATTTCGTATTAAAAATAAAATGAGGATATATAAGTATAAAGTTAATGATGTTGCATTATTATATGAGATAAATCATGATTATCCGAATAAAATTTTACAAATAATTATTTTACAAATAAGAGAACTGTAAACATAATAGTAATTAATATTCCAAAATTGTAATTTGACATTAGTTGTTATATTAGTCATACAAAACTGCAAAATTCATTATTAATATAACAAATGCAAAAAAATTCTAAATTTTTAAATTAATATGAAACAAATTATTTTCTAACTTTATAAAATCTGAGGTAAAAATCTCAGATTTGATAATGTTTAATATTGACATAGCTCATGTAATAATAAATGTGATAATCATCTAACATTTATCATCATCCATAATACAAAATTTCAAATGGATATAGTAAATATAAATATTTCCATGGATTCAAAAATTATATTTGTTTCTGTAATTTTTGTAGAACACATATTATTTATTAATTTTTTATTTTTGTAAAATTATAAAAAAAATGATTTGCATATTATAGATTAATAACAAACTATAAAAATATTAATAAACCAAGTTTCTGTTATTATAGAAAAATTTATAAATCTATGAAATAGAGAACTATTTATAAATTAATATTCTTAATATTCTCATACTTGAAAGCAATAATATTCTATAATATATATAATTATACTGATTATATATATATAATATATAATCAATTGAAAATGATCCAGATTTAAAACTAAGTTTGTAAGGAATTACATTTAAAATAATGCATTTCTATAAATATCTTTTATATTTCAATTATAATGAATTCAAAAAAAGATTTCTAAAAAAAAACTATTACAAAATTTATTGATTGAAAAATTGATTGAAAATTTATTCAATTCACGTTCTCCTAAGAATTTCTCTGTCAAATTGTCACATAAATAATTATCCTCTTAATAATGATTTAAAAATTTTCAAATTGGCTTTTATTAAAATACAAAATTTACATAATACTTTTATTTTTATAAAAATTTATAAATTGAAATAATTAATAATTAATTGTATAATTATATTAATTAATAATAATAATAATAATTAATAAGGTTTATATTTATTTTTCAAAAATATAGATTTTAAAAAGTATTTCCTTTAAAATTTTGAATTTTGTCACTTTCAATGTCAAATAACAATATTTGTATAACTTTTGTTAAACTTGAACAATTATCTTTAAAAAAGAAAGTTTTGATTAAGATATTTTCTTTTTTCTAAATCTATGATAAAATTGGTATTTATAGTTTATTTCCCTATTAAACGGAATAAAAGTAATTTTTTTTTTAATCTTTTAATTTTTTTTTCCATTCTTTTTTTACATAACAGAATTTTTTTGATTAGCTGAATCAAAAATTTCATTCGTCAAAAAATTGTAAGCAATTTACAAATGTAAAACGGTAGTTATTTCTTGAATGATGGCGGTATCTCGTCGCAAATCTTTCGAAAGCACGACAGGCCTAAGACTAACCGGTATATCTAAAATGAACGACTGACCTATGTCTATCTTTACCTCCCGCTGGTCGGCAAACCGTACATATCCGCCAGTGCAATTCGCTTGATGTCTGTGCACACAGCAACCGTGTACCGTTCACCGATACCTCGACTCCACGTCTACCATACAACTTGGCTGACAGCTCACGCTATATCAACACCTATTATTAGATAGATGTTTAACAGCACGTCTACCTCGACTACTTGCAGGATACTCGATTACGTAGCACACCTGAACAATTCAGCTTATCCTATCGCGTACGCGCCATTTTCGGTTTGCACAAACTTCGGAAGCATATGTATTCGATCGTGATCACGACCGATTAATGTAAATTTACCGAATTATCGAACATTTTTCATGAGAAAAAAGATCTACGGTTGTATCTTAATATAATAAGTATTTATATGAAGAGGATTTATATCGATTTTTTATTTTTTATATCAAATATACATGAAATTTTTTTGTAGTAGAAGAAAGAATATGAAAATGTGTGAAAAAAATTTTATTTGTTAAATAATTCTTCTTCTTAACAAGAAAATAATTATAAACTTTATAAAAATTTAAAAAGTTACTTATAATTTATGAATATAAATGAAAAAGATTTCATCAATATTATATTTCTATATTTTTAGTTTTGAAGATGATTGTTCAAATTTAACAAGAGTTAAATAAATATGACACGTATAATACAAGAAGAAAACTTTAAAATTTAGAAACAATAAAATTTAACAAATCTTGTTAATTTTCATTTAAAAATTTTACAATATATCTTCCGAAAATATTTTATTAATAATATTATATTATATATTTGGATTGACTGTAATTGAATATATTACGTATGTAAAAGTACAAAACTAATTCATTACATATACACTTTTACATCTTAACAAATATTTGTAACTATATTTGTTTATAGAACAATGTTGCACAGATTTTAAATATTTCTGTATTTTATTATATTTTTTATCAAAAAAAAAACAATAATGAAACTTTCTTGGTTATTTAATAATTTAAAATATAGAAATATAATGAACATTTTTATTTTATTTAAAAAATTTTTACTTTGAGTAAGGATAAAGTGATAACAAATGATTATTATTCGTTTCGTAAACATTTGATAATTGCGACTTAAATTAATTAATTATTAATTGATCAAAATAAATAAATAAATAAATTTTCGGAATAACAAAAAAATAGATAAAAATTATGAATCTTTTTTATTAAATAAATCATAAAAATATTTAACGAAATTATCTTAAACATTTTATATATGTTAAAAATATTTTTTAATTGGAAGAATTTTGATCAGATTAAAAACCGGCTGATTGAATTATTTAGTTTTTAAAATTCTTCTTTATTAAATTATTATTTGAATCAATTAAACTAACTATATCATATGAATATTTACTTTGATTGATAGGTTTGATGATTCGATGAATAACTTTTACAATTTTAATTTTAATAATTTGATGAATTACTTTTGTAATTTAAATTCTTTAAATCTAATATTATTTTAAGTATTTCATATATTGAACATTTTAACGAAATTAAATATTAAAATAATTAAATATACATAAATGAAATATTATAAATAAATATAAAAATATTACAACTTTATTGTTATTTAAATAAATTGATGTATTGTGTTTGTATATTATATAAATCTTTATATCATTATATCATAAAAAACGCAACTGTTATAAGTAATTATACACGTTTGATAAATTGAATTTACCTATGTTTGAGGAAATATCGTCTTAACAGTGGTTCCGGCGCACGCACCGTGTGTAACCACATCATGTTACGCGTGTGTGGTTGGAATTATCGAATGTATGCAACCGGCTCATTTCGTGATTGTACATGAAATTGTAATTAATACTAGATTAGTAACTACTACTAGAGGTAGAATCTACAATTTACGCAAGTACAGAATTTAATTCCAACGATTTGCAAATAGTAATTTTATAATAATACTACAATTATTTATTTTATTCTTGATTTCGATGAATGTACTATATTGAACAGAATGATTTTAAGTATATTATGAAAAATATTTTCAATATAAATTCAATATAAATTATGAATTTGTTATAAAAATATTTGTATATTTCGTTTTGTTAGTGAAAATTCAGTGATAGCATTTAAAAGTTTTATATCAAAATTTAAAATAAATAAATAAATAATTTCAAAATAATTTCACATATTCACAATTATTTATATTTTTAAAATATCATTATTTTATGACATTATAGTAGTATCAAGTGATAGATATTTACAACAATTATTATTATTTCTAAGATTAAATTAAATACTAACGTAATATTTTACGTTTAATAATCAGCTATTAAAATGTTTATTAAGCAAATTTTGTTATATCTTTCGAACTATATCTTTCGAAACCATATTGTGTGTTATTCATACACAATATTACACGACTAGCATACAAATTATATAACTATTTAATATTCTAGCATTCTAACAAGACATGTACAGTTTATGTTATACTTTAGTGCAGTTCTAATATGGAAACTATTTAAATGTCATATTTCCATAAATAGTAAATGGTTCTTATTAGTTTCGTTATATTTTGTCCTTATTATGCCATTATACTTTGCTAAAAATATTTTATTATTTTATTTATAATGTTATACAAGAAATTTTAAGAAATTGGTATCATATTTTAATTCTAAAATTAGAATAATAATTTCATTAAAACATAAAACTTTATCTTATTTACTTCACATAAAAATTTTTCATTTATTCCAAACTTAAAATCAAAAAACAAAAATTTGAAAGAAGTTAAAACAAATACTATAAAATTGAAATATTTCCATAAAAAATATTTCCTCAAATTATTAAATATTTAAAAATATTATTTCATTTCATACTTAACTATAATATTATATAATTTTTTATATAATATTATATAATTTTATTATATAATATTATATAATATAATTTTTAACTATAATATTATATTTGGAATCGATACAAATGAAACATTTATTTTACGTTTAATTAAAACGCAATATCAAACTATATTATATTTTTTATTTATTATCACTTAAATATTGAAATGTGTTTGAATTTTTTTATTATGATTTCAATATATCGCACTGTAATAATGTTATAATATAGTAATGTAATAATGTAGTTAAACAAAATACTTGTTTGAAATATTTTCTTACATTTGTTGAAATATTTCTTACAATTGTTAAAATAATATCTTTATAATTTGATATATATTTATTTAAAATACTATTTTTAAATAATATTTAATTAATATTTATAAAATATATAATTAATATTTAATTAATATTTACAAAAAATTTATAAAATTTGTAAAATTACATCATTTGAAAAAATGAAAAATATTAATTTCTATTTATTCCTTTTAAAAATATTTTCTTCACCATCATATCTAAAATCAATTTTCAATATAATTAAAAATTTATCTCCATTCTCGTTTGTAAACTTAGAGATATATCAATGTTTAATAATATTAATCGAATTTTATAAATTGCTCGCATTAATAGGTGGAAGAGTATATAAACGAGGCAAAGCTGAAGCAAATCGAAATCTCAAATTATAAGAAACATCTAGCCGAAGCAGAGGCCAAGTACCGTCAGCAACTGAATCTATACGAAATGGTTAGAGCCGAGAGAAGTGCGTGCGGAAAAAGCTTGACAGAAGCGCAGGAAGAGATACAAGAACTGAGGAACAAGCTGAAAGTGCTCAACCACCAAATTGAACAGCTAAAAGAGGACATTGCCTTCAAGGAAACCCAAATGATTAAAGAGCAGTTTCGTAAGCTTTCTACTTTTGATAAACATTTGATAAACGAATCTCAATAGCATTATTTAATTAAATTGTTCTGCTCGTGTTATAAGATATTCCATAGATATAGATTTATGTTGAGATTATACACATAAATTTTTTAATTTAATCCTCTTTGATCAAAATATTTTTAGTCAATAATAAGATAAAGTCAATTAATAATAATTGATTTATTCTTACATAAAAAAAATTAAAATTATTCTATTCAAATAATTAATTTAACTATTCTAGTATTACTATTCTAGTATTATTAATAAAAATATTGTATCTAATATTTTTTTATATTTCAAGATATATTTAATATTTTATATATTTATATTTTTTATCTTTTACATGGAGTTATAAAATTCTATATATTTTATTAAGAATCTAGAATCATCTAAATTATTTGTTTAAATAAAAAATATTACAAAATGTAAAACTTTTCCGAATATTTTTAATGTTAGAATAGAATATTTTAACTACAAAAAATAACATGATTACATGAAAAACATGAAAAAATAAAATAAGCAAAAAAAAAAAAAATATAATCGAAAATATAAAATAAAATGTTTTCATTCGAGATCTCATTTAAACCAAATGAATAAACCAAATTTGAATAATTATCTCTCAAATATTTTTGGATATTGAATTATCAATAAATACTGGTTACTATATGTAAAAATAAACAATGTAAAATAAAATTTTATTCAATTTTCTCAAAAACTAGTTAAATGAAAGAAATTTATTTTACATCTTTTTTCACACATAGAATAACTATTGAGAATTCTTTTGAAATATCTAATCGAAATATAATCAATTGTAATTATACTTGAAAATTTTTCAAAAACAAAACCTCAAATTAAAAAAATTTATTTTATATTTTCGATTTATTTTTTCATCTTTTTCAATATTATTTGTTATCGGATACGGATAGTAAAAATACGGATAATAAAAACACAGAATTCTTAAATATTAAATCAAATATTTAAATCAATCATCATATTTATATCAATTAAATATTCAAATATCGAAATATCGAATATTTTTTTGTATTTTTTGTATTTTTTCTTTATATCTTTATATTCAAACATTCTTTATTTCTTTAATAAAATTCTTTCATTACTACTAAAGATAACACACTAAAGATGAGTTTTTAATCAGAACTGAAGAAAATAGATAATATAAATTATAATTATAAATTAATATTTTCTTTTATTTAACTGATATAAATTATTACAAATAAACTTTTCTTAAAAGTATTAGTTATATAAAGAAATAATATTTCAAATATAAATTATAATATCAAAGTATAAAAATAGTATTTTGAAATGAAGATTTCATTAAAATATTAGAAAATATTCTTTCAATATTATTTCAAATAAACAGTTTACATAATATTAATATTATATTAGTCTACATAAGATATAAAGAGCTCAATTTATTTTCATGTTTAAGAAGTAAAAAATTTAAAAATAAAACATATCTTTGATTAATTAAAAAAGAATATTTTATTACCAGTTCGATAAATATAAGTAATAATATTTTTTAAAAATTCCAACATGAAATAATATTTTCAAATTATATATATATAATTTCTTTAAAATTTCTTTCGATTAATTTCAAATTTTCCTCAACTCTGTATAATCTAATAACACAAATTAAAAATTAACAAAATAATAAGATTACAATGGTTTTCTATATCCTTTTTTCCATAGTTCGCAACAAAGTAGAAAAAGAAAAGGAAGGATTGAGAATAGATCTGTTATCATGCCGCAAAGACATGTCCGATTTGAGACGGGATATCGAGTCGTTAAAGCAAGAGGAGAAGAGTTTGCGGCAAGTGATCCTACGCGCTGAAACAGACATTGCACGGCACAAGAAGGACATCGATAACGTCATGAACGAGAGAGATATTCTGGGAACTCAGCTAGTCCGTAGGAACGATGAATTAACTCTTCAATATAGTAGATTAAAGGTTTTGCATGGAACGCTCCAACGAGGCGAGGTCCAGTATAATCAGAGACTGGAGGACATTAGGTTATTAAAATTAGAAGTGAAAAAATTAAGAACGGAGAAATGCCTATTATTAAAAAATATTGAAAATATGAGCAATCTACGTAAGGAAGTGTTTCATTTAAATCGAGACTTAACGAAGGAGAGGATGAAGGTGATGGCACTTGAGGAAGAGGTTCAAACGCCATTAAACATTCATAGATGGCGGAAACTTGAGGTCGAGTATCTTTAATATAAAGATATGTAAACATATATATTATATCTGAATAACATGCGAATATAGAGTTTAATAATAATATTTCTTATGAAAAAAAAAAAAAAAGAATAGAATAAAATAAGTTATTTGAAAAAATTTTAATAACAAAAATTATATTATTTATTATTTTATATATGAATTATTATTTATTTTATATATGAAAATAAGCAAAAAATCTAGAATTAATTTTATCTTAAAATTAATTTCAAAATTAGTTTTCAAAAATTTTAAAAATTATTTTTAATTTCTTAAATATATATTCAATCTCAATCTTTTCAAACACAAGGAACAATAAAATTTTATTTTATTATTTTCATAGATAATGAGATTTTATCGATAATTCACTCGTAATAAAAAATTCGCGGATTTTATTTATATTTAAAAAATTTTCAAACTTAATTTTTTCTATTTTTCAATTTTGATTTCGAAAACAAAGTTTTGGACAAACAAATTTTATACTTTCTTAATTTTTTTTCTTAATGTTTCATAAGAAATCACCTTGTATCTCGTTGCATATGTTCGAATTTTGAATATAATAAAGAAATTCTTTTTTTAACGTAATTTATTGAATTTATATAGGGTACCGATCCAAGTACTTATGATTTAGTAAAGAAGATTCAAATTCTCCAGAAACGCGTGTTAAAAATGGCAGAAGATGCGATTGATAAAGAAAAGAAAATAAAAGATACCGAAAGATTATATATGAATTTACGAGAAATTTTATCGAAACAACCTGGACCTCAAGTGACGGTTGCTCTTAGCAAAACTCAAAAAGCATTGCGTGAGAGAGGTCAAAAAAATGAAGGTAGAACATTTTCTTCTTATAAATATTAATAAGTTATATATATTTATAACATATTTAAATTAAACTTATTTATTTTGAAAGCCATATTCTTACAATGATTTAAAATATCCAAATAAAATTTAGCTTTATTTAAAAAGAAAAAAATATTAATCATATAAATTAATAATAAAATATTTTTAAAGAAATTTATATTTTATAACTTTAAATTAATACTCGTAATATTATCTGAATGTCTTATACTAGATATCTTTAATATACAGAATAAGATGTTCAGATTTAAAATAGATAAAATAAAAAATCGAAACTTAAATTTTTAATTTTGATAAAATTATCCCTTGGAGAATTTTAAGCATTCGTTCCAAATTTCGAGTAAACTCAATTAAATATTTTAGCGATAGTGAACACAAGGATGCACGCGAATTAAACAATTCAATTCGTTTTTCAGTGTCTATTGGCGGAGCTGAGCATGTGCGAAGTTCAAATGGGCGAGTACAAAATTGGCATGGAGAAAATGACCATCGAAATGAGCAGTTTGAAGAAAAAGTACTTTGCGGAGAAGAAAAAACGATACGAAGCAAAAGACTTGAAAACAAAATCCGAGTCTATCTTCCCCCCTTGTGTGGATCGAAAGAAATGCTTGGGGGGTGGATTCAACATGGTAGCTGGACCAACACCCAGAACTTATTTCGTTGTAGATTCTGCGTGCAGATAAAGTTATATTACTTAACAAAGAAAGGATACGGCTCGGTTATGTTTACCAAGCTGACGATACTCAATTCTGTAATGAAAATATAACAGTGAAAGTCGCAAAATTTCTGTGTATGCTTTTCTCTTCAAATTTCTTTTCGTTTACGAGTTCTATTCTTTCTTTCTTTCTTACTTTCTTCCTCTTGAAACATTTGTCAATATTTGAAATCTATAAAGCTAGATACAGTCACATGCGAAAATACAATCGTGTTGACGAAAACTATTCATAAAAACAGAAAGGATAATTCATTTCTTTTTGTTTCGTTTAAATTTTTTGGAAAAAATCTTACGAAAAAAATGGTGATGAAAGAAATTCAAATGTTATGTTTTATTCATCGTTATTCGGAATGGATGAATAATATTATTTTGAATCTGAGAAATGGAAAAATAAAAATGGCGGAATATTTGATTTGTTTTCAAGAATTGGTATTGCAAATATTGATTTCTTTTAAGTAGAGCAAAAAAATTGTTGAAAAATTTTTAGACTTTAGATTTGGAAAATTCAGAATCTTCTGTTTATTCCATTTCGATTATTTGATTTTTTATTTTGAATGTTTGCATAAATTTTTTATATATTATATTGTTTTCACAATAAAAATTTATCGTATGTCTTTTCTTATATTAAGATTTTTTTTATTCAAAATTAATTTTATAATGAAATATTTTTACATAAAAATTGTTTTCTTTTTTCCTTTTTTTATTTAATTTAATTTTCAATTTTAATATATTTTCTTACGTAATGATAACATATAATTAATTACATTCTCGTAATCCTTCCTTATTTTCACTTCAATATAGAAAGGGCTTTAAGCATTCCTTCTGCTTTCTCGTTTAATTTGTGGTCCACGGTCCGGCGGAAGTAATGGCTAAAGCAATTGCATGGCCACAGATGAATGCCACGGAAGCATTTATTGACGCGTAAATCGATTGTCATTCGAACAGACATCAAATTAATTACAACGAGCTCAATCAACATCAAGGAATTTCACAAAAATAGATATAAAAAGAGGGCAAAGTGTGTTGATTTAATTTCTACTTATTAATTAATTATATACTTTTTTAAAATCACGTATTGCAATTCAATTAAGAATTTTTTTCCTTGAAAAAATTTTTCTAATAAATATTTTTAATATTATTTTTGCTTAATTTAATTTTTTCAATTTTCATTACTTTTTAAAAATTTCTTCGATTTTTTGAAAAATATTTTAAGCAATTAGAAAGATTAAATACATTATTCACCAATCTTACTTACTTTAAAAATTCTTAAAAAAAAAAATCTTTTATGTAGTAACATAACAGAATCATTTTTGTTTCTATGCATTATATAATTAATCATGAAAAGTATTTAAATATTCATATATTTACACATATAATTTTTTTAACAACATAATCTTTTTTATTTCGAAATATATTATAATGAAGAGATTAACAATTTATTCTATTTACTACACGAATAATTTCAGTTAGTTAAAGCCAAAAATTTCTTTATTCTTGCTTAAAAAAACTTGAGAAAACACAAATATTTTTCGTTGCATGTTTAGCACTAATAAAATATTCAACAAAAGAATACTGAAAAATAAAAATAAATAATTCAAACAAAACGTTACATTCTTCTTATCTCGAAAAAAGAAAATAATTCTCAAGAAAGAATGAAAGTTATAATAATTTATCTAAATTGAAATAAAATTATCATAAATAAAAATATATTTGGCATTAAAAAGCATTCAAGCAAAATAATATATTATAATTTTTGTAAATTTGGTATCGTTTCCTAATTATTTAGTCAATCAAAAGTCTTTACATTATATAATCAAACTCTTTATATTATACATTAACTACAACAAAAATTTATTTAATCCGAAAATTTTAATTTTAATGAAAATGTCTCTATTAGAAGGTTTCACGTAAAAGTAGAAAACGAAGTAATTTTAAAATCATTTATTATATCGGATAAAATTTCAAATATAATTTTGAGAAGGTAATTTAATTTATAATTCAGTTTTTTTTATAAATGAACATATAAAATATGTAAAAGTCAAGTTTGTTTTTTTAAAATTTATTATATATTTTTATTACATAAAACAATCGATTCAATAATTTTCTTTAAAAGATATTAAAAAAAACTATTTTAAAAAAATATTCAAACTTGCAATTTTGTAAAATTTATTGTATGAAAGACAAAGGAATATACAAAGCAATATTCGTCTGTTCATGCATTTCTTATTTTGCGTAAATTAATCTTTATGAAATTCGAAATTAAAAATTAATGTTTTTTCGACAAAAATAGTTTGATTTTTAGAAAATAAAAAACTGAGTTGATTAATAAAATTTCAAATATTTATCATTTTTTCATTTTTTAAATATAATTTCGGTTAAGAATTTTTTTTAACAGCAATAAAATATAATAAAACATTAAAATGTGACTATTTTATGATTTAAAATTTTATTATTTTATATCATTAAAAAATTATATTAAAAAACGAAAGAAAAGTATTCAAAGAAAATTTTCAGAATTGATTCCATTTTCATGAAATAATATTTTGTCAAATAAATAAATTACTTTACATATACTCTTATAATCTATTACATTAATCTATTATATTAATCTATTATTATATATATATATACATAATATTTCATATGAAATAAAATTCTTGTTGATTTTTGTAATTGAATTGCATATAAAATATTTTAATAGAAAAATTTATATCATTCTTAAAATATATTCAAATATTCTAAAACTTCTTTTAACAAATAAAACAAAAAGTGAAGAATGTAATAAATCTGAATATTTTTAAAGATAATAAATTAGCTCTAAAACTGATAATATATAATTTATTGCATATAGATTCACTTAAAAATCCATGAATTCTCTCGTAAATATCTAAAATGAATATTTATCGCTAACATTGAACAGGAATATGTAGATAAAATCAAGTATTAGGAATTAAATACAATATGTATTTATAAATTTGAGTCAATTGCAATATTTCGATTCACAATTCTCGATTCACAATTATATTTGAAATATATTCTATTTATTTTATATAGCTATCGAATCTTGAAACGAATATTTACAAGTTCTTAAAAATTATTATATATTTTTATATTTTATGTTTAAAAAATCGAATTTTTTATAATTAATATATATTTAATGTTTTAATATTTTTAATAATTATAATATTATTATATAATATAATAGTATTTGAATCTTGGAAATAAGAATCATTTAATTGATCTTAAATATATATTTATAATTTTATTTATTGAATTTGTGATTATATAAAAATTTCTTACATATATATATATATATATAAAGATATAAAAATGATCATCACAAAATAGAATTTCAAAATTGATTTATCCGTAATTTAAAAATAACAGAAAAAATGATTGGAAAAATTAGAAAAACTCTGAAGTAAAATATTCATAAAAATTTCTTCTTCAAACAAGATTAAAGTATATCTACTGTACTGATTTCGTTTTTCAGAATATTATAAAAGTTTTAAAGTCTATTTCATATATTTAAAAATATTTATACAGGATGTTAAATACAATTGGATCTAAATCATAAATAATAAAAGATAAAATAGAATTTTATAATGTTCTGAATAATGTATCATTTGTTTGATTTAATGTTTATTTTTTCAAATAAAATAATAAAATGATAAAATTTTTTATATACAAATTAAAATATTCTTCTATCTTTTAAAAAAGTATTAAATATTTATATCGAAAATTGATTACTTTGACTTTAATTATAAACCTATTAAACTTACATATTATTTTAATACTTTGTATATGAAAGTTAAAAAAAATAAACACAAGAGTGCTTTATGTTTTTCATGTACAAAATCGAAATATCTTCTAAATTAATTAATTTTCAACTCCTAAATATAATATATTTTTATAGAATAAAACATCAAGATATCAATTTCCAACTAAAAAAAAAAAAAAATAACAGATAATTTTGCATGCTATCTTCGAAATTATTTTATTCGTAAATCAAACGTGTAAATCGCATCATTTGAAATATTTCATCTTCTATCGTTGTATGAAACATTCAAAAAATTTAAATTCAATCAAACAAAGTTCAAATTTTTGCAAGAAACTCAATCCCATCGCTAGATAATATAAATTGCTCTTGATGGTGGTCTATCGAGGCGATGAAGCGAAAATAATTCCGGAAGGTGTGGCGGAGTCACTGATACGATAAATTCGCGCGGACATCCTTAAGGCATCCCCCGGTGGATCGGACGGATACCGAAGATTCATGCAGACAGTAATATCCTGCTAGAAGGAAGACATCCCGTTGTTCATACTACTGGCATGTTCGAAAGCACGGTCACGTGCATACGGTGTAATTTATCCTAAGTTAAAACAGGTGCCTCACGATCGTCAACTTGTCCTCGTCCCCGCCTCTTTCTTTTTCTTTTCATCCAATGATGGAGATTTATAGAAGCTCTTAATGGGGGTGAGTATAAAATAATTCTTAAGGAAATCGGAAGAGAGTCCGGTAGATAAAATTCGAGTAACTCGGTTATGAAGATTTATGTGAAACAGGGTATATCGTAATGATGTTGTGGTTCGAATTAGATATGTTTAAGCGTCTGCAAGTGGCAACTGGTACATGAGATTAATTTGGTGCAAGAGTAGATTGAAAGATTAATTTGGGATGTTGTTTTGCGTGATCTTTTTGGAATGAGGGAGCTTGTGATAGATTGAGCTTTCGGTTGCATGATGCATGATGCTTTTTGCAATTAGAAAATCGTTTAGCGCTTATATGTAAAATTGATTTTCTGAATTATTTTTAAATAAGAAAAGTAATAATATTAATACATGTGATCATATGTGACTTCAAATCATTTAATAAAAACTAACTAATTTTAAGTCGTTTTAGATTAATTTTTAAAATGTTCCTTTTTGTTAAAAAAAAAAATTATTTTCTGAAATGAGATTAAATAATTTTTTAAATTGATATAGTTTCTCATATATTGCAATATAAACTTATTAATTACTTAAAATATTTAAAATCATGTAATCATAATTTTTATTTTTATATATA